CGGCCCCTTTGTCCAGGTGCCTTTCCCTCTGGCCTGACCCCTCCTCAGAGGCACAGCAGGAGGGACAGGCTGACCCTGGAGGCTGGGCTGACACTGGGCTGGTGGGCCCAGGCCCTGGGACACTGTGACTGCTTTCTGATGTGGGGCTCCAAGCTGCCAATCACAGCAGAGTCCGTCCTCCCTGCCTCTGGGCAACGCCACAGCAGCTGGGGGCCAAGGGACATTGCTCAGAGGACACCCCGGGGGCATGGAACCTTCTCCCCGAGTGTCCCGGGGGCCCTGCCTGCTGTGCTCGCTCACCTGGTTGCGAAGGAAGCCCTGGAGCTCCTCCACTTTGGTCCATGTATCACCCTTCCGGACCTCCACCTCGTAGCACAAGTATGTTTTTCTCTCCCGGCTGTGACTGAAGTTGACTCTGAAGGTGGTTGCATCCATCAGGGTTCTGTGGGCACAGGCAGGAGGAACCCAAGGCATGGGGCTCCTCTGGGGATCACCCCGTTCTCCTCCCCTCTGCACCCACATCCCGACTAGACCCACAGAGGACAGGCATCCACTCCCTTAGCTGGGGTCACCTAACCTCTCTCTCTGACCCTCGGGGGCTCCTGGGAAGTCAGCCCAGTCTTTTTGTCAGGGTCCCCCCGGGAGCAGTGCAGGGGCTCAGAGCTCTGACAGGGCCTCTCCTGGCATCACCGTCCTGCCCTCGTCCCGCTGACCCATCCTGCCAGGTGCAGCCCAGGGGCGCTGTTCCCTCTGCTCTTCTGGGTTAACCTGAGCCACATGGTGCATCAGGGGAAAGGGTGGCCCCATCGGGGAAAAGAGATGCCAAACTAGTCTTCTCAAATAACTCATCACATTTCCCTTCTCATCATGAAAACAATCATGTCTTTTACAAAAACAAAAACATAAATCTAAACGTGACCTCCTAGGGCCTCAGTGCAGAAGAGCAAAAATAGATTTCATGGGAGACAGAGGGAGAGGAGAAACAGGGAACCTCAAGGGTGACCCCCAGATTTTAGCCTAGGGCCATGGTGGGCGGGTAGGACAGGCCAACAGGGTATCAGCTTAGGGGTCCTGGATATATAAGGGCCATCAAGAGAGAGGGGACAAGCAGGGGGTCTCCCGGGGAGAAGGCAAGTCCCTCAGGGAGCCAGGAGGAGGGGCTCAGAAGCAGGGCTGCTCCAGGGGCGGGTGGTACCTGCCAGTTGGTGCTGGGTTGTCCATGTCTCAGCTCCGTCACCTTCTCTGCTGGTCACGGCCCGTCCTCCGTCTGGGACGCTTTTAAGGACCGAGGTGCCTTATATGCCATCAGAGCATCTGGAAACTGCTGAGCTGGCCCTGCTGCGCCCCACCCCTTCCCTAAACTCAGGCCACTCATGCCACCGACATGGCATCATAGAATAGGGAACTTTTCTGCCGAAATGTCTCCTCCTACGCCAGCCGTGGGCAAACTATGGCCCGCGGGCCAGATCCGGCCTGTTTGAAATGAATAAAACAAACAAAAAAAAAGACCGTACCCTTTTATGTAATGATGTTTACTTTGAATTTATATTAGTTCACACAAACACTCCATCCATGCTTTTGTTCCGGCCCTCCGGTCCAGTTTAAGAACCCATTGTGGCCCTCGAGTCAAAAAGTTTGCCCACCCCTGTTCTA